TGATGATGATGATGATGATGATGATGATGATGATGATGATGATGATGATGATGATGATGATGATGATGATGATGATGATGATGATGATGATTATGATGATGATTATGATGATGATTATGATTATGATTATGATTATGATTATGATTATGATTATGATGATTATGATTATGATTATGATTATGATTATGATTATGATTATGATTATGTTTATGATTATGATTATGATTATGGTTATGATTATGATTATGGTTATGATTATGATTATGATGATGATGATGATGATGATGATGATGATGATGATGATGATGATGATGATGATGATGATAATGACGATTAAGATACGACAAGACAAAAAGGCAACGCAGCAAATTTTTGTCAGATGTAAAGAAACGAATTTGCGCGCACCGAGCCACTCACTTTTTTTATTAATAAAAACGACTGCGTCGCCGTGTCGATTTTTTATCTTGTCATTCTTGTCGAGTTGCATCGACGGGATTTCAAATGTATCGATCGAGTCACAGGATGATGAAAATTTTATTCACTGTTGGGAAAACAATCGAGGACGTACATCAAGTGCATCGAAAATTTTTTAAAAATAATTTCTAAACAGAGTTGGATCATAGTTTTAAATATATATATATTTTTTTGTTAATGTTAAAAGTGACGCCACGATTGTATTTTCAACGAATTTGGACAAATAACTACGATCAAAAAAATTAGACTCTGCAACAATTGTAGAGTTCTAAACACTCGTCGAGATTTGTCGACGATTGGTAAAATACGGCATTGTCGATCGTGGTTATCTTTCTCTATTTCTTTCTCTTTCTCTTTTTCTCTCAAATTAAATGAATACAAATAAACAAAAAAGAAACAAAAAAATAAATGAGACCTTATTAAATATTAAAAAAAAAAATATTATTTTACAATTTTAGCGACAAGGAATCGTACAACGAAAATAAAGATATTATTTAAATACCACGCATATCATTTAAAGGCATTTCCGAATTGTTTTTCGGTGACATATATCGTATAAATGAAGAAAATTTTAAATAACCCAATAGCACAAACATAATATTATGATCCATGCGGCATAGAACGTGTTAATCTATTATACGTTTCTTCAAAGCCAGCTAGTATTTTCTATTCTTGTCGCTAAATTCGTAGATATTTTTTTTCTTTCTTAACCGTTTTAGTGCCACGTGTTCTGAAAAATTCTTGATCGTATTATGTCCATGCAGCGTTAATATATCTGCGAGAAATACCGTATCGTTGCGATCGCGCTGCTCATTCGTTACATTTATCACACAGTATACTAATAATAAGTGAACAGGCGCGACCTAGCTGCGTGAGCGCACTAAGACGGTTAATAATAACAATTTTATATAATAATTATCGTCAAAAAAAGCGAAAAAATAATAATCGATATCTCTTTTGTTTATTTTTTTTCTCCTTTCCCCCATCGACAAAAACTGTGGATCGATCGACAACAACAACAACAACAACAACAACAACGACGATGACGACGATGACGACGATGACGACGACAGGCTTGTCGAAAGGGGTCGGTTTTATAAGGTTTGACCAACGTGTTGAGGCCGAAAGGGCGATTCAAGAACTGAACGGAAGCGTTCCGAAGGGCTCGAGTGAGCCGATCACCGTCAAATTTGCCAACAATCCAAGCAACAACAAGGCGATACCGCCGTTGGCCTATCTGGCACCCCAAGCGACACGTCGCTTTGGCGGCCCGATCCACCATCCAACTGGCCGCTTCAGGTACATTCCACTGTCGCCACTATCCAGGTACCTACTCGCCTCTACTCGCTCTACCCAAAGATCTCGTTTTCTATTTCTTTTATATTATCACTATCTCACTGTCTCTCTCTCTCTCTCTTTCTTTCTCTATCTCTCTCTCTCTCTCTTTCTCTCTCTCTTTCTTTCTTTCTCTCTTTTATCTGTATCTATTTATTTATCTTTTCATTATAATCATTAATCTTCAATTCCAAACAAATTTTTTTACCTTCCTCTCTTCGTATCATTCTTTTATGTTATTATCTAAGCGCGGAAAATCAACACAAACAATCGACCAAATCGATCGATCAATCCACACGCTCGTTTCTTCCATTTTCCCTCTCTTTCTCTCTCTCTCTCTCTTTCTCTCTCTCTCTTTCTCTCTCTCTCTCTTTCTCTCTCTCTTTCTCTCTCTCTCTCTCTCTTTCTCTCTCTCTTTCTCCTGTTTTGTCTTATCCGTAACTACAAACAAGAAGAAACTTTTTTTTCTGAACGATGCTCTCACTTTATTTCGATTTTTTTTTTTCACAGTCCATCCTGATCTGGCGAGTAAGAAAACGCAATAGAGATTAAGAAAGAGAGTCTCAAAGAGATTTTTCTTTTTAAAAAGATTTCTATTCAGGCGTGTACACATTCTTTGTCACTTTTTTCTCTTTCTCTTTCTCTCTTTCTTTTTCTCTATTTATCTAACTCGTCGTTGTTTACGTCGGAAGGAGGAGGATTGTTCGAGTTAGCGAAGAAATTAACGATTTCCTTTCTCGGGATTTGTGACGAGACGGTCTGCCGCGAGAGACAAACACAAGAATTCATCAAGTCGAACATACTTTTCTATTTCCTTTTTTACTCCTTGCTATTATTTTTATTCTTTTTCTTTTTTATTGTTTTCATTTCCATCTATAAAATAAAGTATTATACAGTAAAGTGACACTTAATGGTTTGCTTCCTCGAAAGAGGACCTTTCTCTCATATATATATTTTTAATTTTTTTATTTTTTTTGTGTTTTATTTATTTATTTATCTTTATCTTTATCTTTATTTTAAAATCTAAATCATAAAATTCGTGAGTTGTGATATGAGATATTTTATTTTGTGTCGTCTAATATAGCAAATCCTCGTCCTTTCTACATTTTTGTGGTGGCTCTGTGATGTTGTCATTTATATACATATACACATGTAAATGTATATATATATATTCCGCTTTATATAAGTATAATTATAATTTTCCCAATAATCGTTAATTAAATAATATAGAGCAAAACAATTCGTTCGATCGATCGATTTATCTCTGTTTCATGTTTCATTTATGCACTAAATCGTTTATTTTCCTTCACTCTTTCTCTTTCTTTCTTCTTCTTTTTTTCTCTCTCTTTCTCTCCATCTTTTTTCATTTCTCCTTTCTTTTCCTTTTTGTCTTATGTTCCATAAACAACGCTTTTTTATTTTCATTTCTGTCCATCAACGTTTCTTATGTTTTTAATAACGCGTTTTTCCTTTATCGGTGACATGTCATGCATAGCTGTACTTATGACAGTGGACTAAATTACAAAATTTACAAAAATTGATTTTATAATTTGTCTAGTATTACAATTGTTTATATTATAAAATAAATCATAAAATCAATTATTCCAATTATTTGTATAATTGATCTACTGCCATAATTACTGATACGCGTATACGAACATAAATTGCATATTTTTTCCACGACTATGCATGTCTTTATAATTTTTTGAGCCATTTTGCCCGGTCACGTGTGTCCTTTTCTCGTAGTCGTGATAGATACAATTTAAAAAAAGAAAAAAGAAAAATAATATATCAGAAGTAACGGAAAAAGTATGTATTAATAATAATATCCCTTTCTAAGTATATTTTGAGTAGTTAAGGCTTTTGCTTTTGCTTGCGTTTTTTTATCAGTTACATTTTGCCGCCCTTTCGTGACCCTTAAAATCCACTTGTATCAATCTTATTTCGAAGCTTCGTTGCTCCCTTTTTCCTTTTTTTTCGTTCTTTCTCCTTTCTCTTTCTCTTCTCTCTCTCTTTTTCTCACTCTCTCTTTATTTCTTGTCTTTCTCTCTCTCTCTCTTTCTCTCTCTCTCTCACTCTCATTCTTTCTCTCTTTTTCCTTTTCTTTCTTTCTTTCCCAATTCCTAGCCCAACCCTTAGATTGATTCAAGAAACAAGAAAAAATGAAAAAGAACAAACGGAAGTGCGACTCATAGAAAGTAGTGAAGTATGTTTTGCATCAAAATCAAAATCAAAATCCATAATCCAAAAAATTAAAATAAAAAAAATTAATAGGAAGCGCCCAACTTTTATCCCGACTTTTTTGGCTCGATCCCGGAGTATCTATCTTCTTACGTTGTTCTTTTTGTGTTTTGTTTTAGCACTGGCAAGGCCATGCTTGCCATTAACAAAGGCTTACAGAGGTCAGTATTTTTTTCGTTACTACCAAAGTATGTTCCTCCCTTTTTCTGTTCCATTCGTTCACTTCTTTCTTGCCATTTTGTTTGGTATTTCTTTGTTTCTCTCTCTATCTTTCTTTCTTTCTCTTTCTCACTCTCACTCTCACTCTCACTCTCTCGCTTTTTTTTATCTTTTTTGTTATTTTGTGTTTTTCTGTTTTTTGTACTACTTGCGTGTGTTTAGTTTAATTGATCCATCGTTTTTTTTTTCTCTTTTCCATCTTAATTTCTCTATTTCTCTCTCTCTCTCTCTTTCTTTCTTTCTTTCTCTTTGTCCCTCTGTCTCTAACTTTCTCGAACTCTAACTCTTTCTCTTTAACTATCTATCTATCTATCTATCTATCTATCTATCTATCTATCTATCTATCTATCTATCTATCTATCTATCTATCTATCTATCTATCTATCTATCTATC